AAATTGTTCTTCTTTCTGTCTTCAAGGAAATCAGTGCCCAAAGGAAACAGCAGTCCAGAGTCTGATTCCAGCTCCGGTGAGGTTCAGCACACAAATTGGCTGTCTGATTATATGAGAATATTTAAGATTAGTTTAATTTATCAGGCTGGCCCATGTGATGACAGTTTAAATAGAAAGTGGAAGGAACACTTTTGTCTTAAAACATAAATTCATAAAGCTGATCATATTATTGAATTCATCTTGTCTTATTATATATTTTGTTTTTCCTCTTTAATAGTTCTCCTGCCTTTAAAGTAAACTTTAGAAGCTGAAGTTTAGCAGAACCTGAGGACAGATCTGATTTCAGGTCTGAGGCATAAACATCACAGTATAATTCATTATACTTTACATTTAACTCTGTGATTGTTTTTCTTTATTACAGAAGATGCTCTCAGATTCAGATCCATCAACAACCCCTGACAACATGGAGGACTCGTCCCCTGAGTGTTTCCTGTCCTCTCTCCATGGACTTCTTCTCTTCAGTTATTAACTCTTGAAAACAGCAGCACAACATGGCAGACTGTTTGACAAGTCTGTGATTGAATAAATTGAAATATAATCTCATACGTATCTTGCTATGCTTATTGGCTTTAAATGTTTAATATTAAATAAATTTGAAGGCCATTTATCTCGGACGAGACCGGCTGTGACAAGCTGAGCTCGTCTGTTAGCTTTGCTGTTGTCTTAGCTGTTGTTGGTCAAGAAGAAATGAATGTCAGTTCAAGGTCTTTTCAAATGTGAGCTATAAACTTAACTGCTAAATTATTTTACTGTGACCAACACTTTGTTGTGCTCCAGTTAATCAGAAACAGTCATATCAGATTTTTAAAAAGTTTATTTAAACATTTTATGAAAAGAAATCTTCAATAAACAACCCCTGGCAAATCCCAAGAAAAATCAAATAAAGTATAGAGATCCTGGATGATTGTTTGACTGTTAAAATATGATGGAAAAGCAAATCCAACACAACCCTCCAGCATCTGGCCTTTCAAACACAGGGCAACATCATGTAAAGAAAAATAAATTGAATATTGACCAGGATCTCTGTGTTTTATCTGAGGATGACTATGGTAGCCTTCTCACTGGTCACTGTCACAAAGCACCAGACTGTCCACCTTCTTCAGTTGTGCAGACGTCGATCAGCTCCTCTGGGTGATGGCAGAGAGGACTCTTCATCTGGGAGAGCTGCTGGTGTAAGGTAATTTCTACCACAGTGGATGAGCAGGACATCTGGCACAGGTGAAAAAAGGAGGCGGTTCATTCAAACTAAGTGACCCCAGCCTGACCTCTGTAACAGGTGTGCAGACAAAGGTTGAAATGAGTCATTTTTAGGTTCAGTTGATTGTAAAATGGAAAAGAAAACATCACCTTTCTATTTAACATTTAGCTGGTGTATGACTCAGTGTGATTTTTATTTTTAGAAGACTGTATTGTTAACAATAGCTTGTTTTGACAATCCTCTTTATGAAACTTAAATAAAAATCACATGATATATAACTTTTAACAGATGATTTTAACTTACACTTCACCTCTGTGGAAGATGTCAGACCAGCTGCTTTTATCTCTAATTTGCCTAAATGAAGATACAAAAAACAATTGATTTACTTCTTCACTTAAATATATTAGAAAAGCAGACTTGAATCACATTGCAGACTATCAGTTTCTAACAAAATACAACATATCTTACCACCTGTAGCCTACGGTCTGTGGTGCTAACCTAGCTTAAATATAGAACGATTTCTTTAAAAACAGAGGACCCAGCAGCCCACATATTTTCAGTACTGATTAAAATAGCGGGATTTTTAAAAACACAGTGTGTTTAAATATTACACTTTGAATACGGTGGTTTGTTGTACTTACACATTTCTTCATCGTAGACCGGCAGAGCGCTTTCGGCGTAGCTGGGCTGTGTAAGTCATCAGGGCAGTACGCTAAGTGGGCGGGGCGTGTTACCAGGGCTCCTGCCCTCGGACTCTACTGCGCAGACTCTGGCTCCAAATGACGTCAAAATCGCAAGATGGAAGCGCCCCTAAGCGGCGTATTTTGGCTTCAAGAACGTTGAGTGGGAACAGCTACAGTGCGCGCCCACTGGTCTTAACAAGCACTGTTATAGTATCTAAATATTCTCCGACACAGACAGAGTCGCTGCAGCGCAAGTCCACACTGAGTTGAAAACGTGCGTACACGAACTGAGACCTGGTGTGAGATTTGAGCGTACCCTCCGCTCACGTCCGAATTGATAAGTGCCGGACTTTGCGTGGAAATGACCGTACACCCATTTTTCTGTCGTACATACTTTTGATAAGTGAGGGCCAAAGGGTGGGAACAATACATATTGAAGGGACACATTTACTTCAGTTTTTCTTTGAAGTTGAAACAAATATCTGGATAAACACCAGTGTATGTATGTATAAGAGGGGGGATGAGTTATGATCAGAATCATGGACAACAGCAAGCAAGAGACTTTCTTCCTGTTGCTAAAAATGTCTGTGGCCTTCTGTGGAAAAAACACACACACACACACACACACACACACACACACACAGGCAGAAATGCAATCCCCACATCTCTCATTTTTTGGGTAGAGGAACTGAGTCCTTTGCAGTATTGTGCATACGTAAGCTGGTGGTTTGGCATGTCTGTGTGTGTGTTTGAGTTACTACCAGAATATACTTGACATACAGGCGGTTCACATTTAGCACAAGCATCAACATTTTCTCTCTTTCCTGCTTTTTAAAAAACTTCACATTCTTTACATGATGAGCTCCGACTTACTTTGAACATTAACAAACACACACAGCTATCCTTCTCTGTTTGAGGTGAAGGCTCGTTCACACATATGAATCGTTGTGGTTGGGTCGTTGGCAGATCAGCTTCACTATCATTATCCTGCACATTTGTTTTCTTGCCCGAGTGTATGTGGCAACAAAATTCACTCTGTATGATTTAGAAAATATCTCACAAGTAGCAGCTCATCTTTTTTTTAAAGTACATAAGCTGATTGGGCGTAAGTTACTTCACCACTAAGGATGACACAGAACTCACAGGAGATGTCAGTACAGACGGACAAGTTTTCACATGCAAAACAGGGTGTCTCCACTCTGCTACCTCAGCTTAAAAGTTTAAACACACGCCCAAAAAAAAGCCGAAAAAGAGAACAAATGTGAAAGAAACATCCAATTGAAAAAGCTTAAAGGGGAGGCTGTAGTCCTCCAGGCGGGCGGCCCGGGTTCAAATCCGACCTGTGGCTCATTTCCCACATGTCATTCCCTGATCTCTTTCTCCCTAATTTCCGACTCTATCCACTGTCCTATCTCTCAAATGAAGGCAAAAATGCCCAAAAATAAATCTTTTTTTTTTTTTTTTAAAAGCTTAAAGGACATTTGGAACCTTTTTATCACTCTCATTCATTTATTTTCTTAGATGAAGTTTTGTTCCCTGTCAGACAAATAAACAGACGGCTCCTGCTGCCCTCTGAGAGTCAGCTGCTGCACTCCATCACTCCATTTCTCAGAGAAACACAGCACTGATGTAACAAATGTTGTAGAAAAGAGTTAAAAGAGAAGAGAAAGGGAGAGGAGAGCACCTAACCACCAAGCCTCCATGTGTTTTACTTCACAGCTTCTTATCCACCGCATCTTTTTGTCCCCATCTTCCTCTTCGACCTGCGGAAAAATGAAAAAGCTTTTTACGTTTCGCTTTTCATGACCTTAAAGGCTTTCTATGTGATTTTTCACACTTAAATGTAATATAAATCAAGTATATCCTCTGAAAATAACTCTGAGTCATGACTGTCTACAATGGTTGTAACACCCGAGTCCCACTGTCTGTGATGTTTTCAGAGTTTTCAGAGTTCTATCTTCAGTTTGTTTACATCTCCTAGACGGCCGGCTGACTCCTCCCCTCACGTATAAAAGTTGTTTAATTGAGGGACTAGAGAAAAGAAGAATACCATACTGTACTCACTGATTAACTGTGTTTCTAGATCACGCTCATTTCAGTTCTATTGCTGTAGAGTCAGTAAAACTCTGCTGTCCTCTGCTCCTTTTTTCATAAACAACAAACATTGTCACTTCACCTACGTCACCGGGTCAAACAAATCTCACTTTAATAGCACACTGACTGTTAGGCTGACTCTGACTCTGCAGGCCTCATGAACCTGCTGAACGCTGGTGCTCTCTCATGTCAACTTTCCTTCACAATGAAGTTATTGTGTAATACAAAATATGGTTTGGTTTGGTTAGTCATGAATTAATTCACAGATTTGAGTCTGTGTGAGACACTTATGTAACTACTTATTTATTATTCTTCAAAATCAATAGTTTAGTTCAGTGATTAAAAATTGTGCATCCCATGCTCTTAACCTCTTAATGACAGGCAGAGTATGTAGATTCCACCGCCAGGGGGCTCTACATCAATACAAAAACAGAAGAGGATTTTAGGCTGGCGGGGAATCATGGGAGTTCTCTCTAAACAAAACCGACCTTAGGAAGACAATATTTTTACCCCCATGATGTATCCAAGTATTATTTATATGTCAGTTTTTTTTTCTAGCAGCACATACAGCAGCATACTGTTGCTGAATGTTCAGCTCGCGTTTGTGGGTTTAAGAAGTCTGTCTGCCAACTGCTCACACGGCCAAATCACTGCAAGGGTTCAAACAGCCGTTCCCGTGTGTGTGTGTGTGTGTGTGTGTGTGTGTGTGTGTGTGTGTGTGTGTGTGTGTGTGTGTGTGTGTGTGTGTGTGTGTGTGTGTGTGTGTGTGTGTGTGTGTGTGTGTGTGTGTGTGTGTGTGTGTGTGTGTGTGTGTGTGTGTGTGTGTGTGTGTGTGTGTGTGTGTGTGTGTGTGTGTGTGTGTGTGTGTGTGTGTGTGTGTGTGTGTGTGTGGTATATAGACTTCACTCGTACTCTCTCTCTCCTCATTACTCAGTAACTCACCCTTCTCTCTCTCTCTCTCTCAGGCTGTGTGTTTTCAGTCTAAGATGCCCTAGGCGAGGAGCACGGAAATGTAAATGGCTTCCAAAGTGAAAGATGCTGTGGTGTGGTACCAGAAAAAGGTAAGACACAGAATATGTTCTTGCATTTGCTCGCTGGTTTTGTTTTTGAATGTCATCAAAAAAAAAAATCTTTATTAGAATGTTTACATCTATTAGTCCGATCACTGTCCACTTATATCTCTACTCTTTTGGATCTATTTTGTATTTTAACTTTTGTATTTAAATTCACACTTCATATTTTTGGTTTAAATGTTAAGTCTACCTGCACTGTGGTTAATTTCCCGCTCTGTGGGCCCTTAAAATGGTTTTATTGTGCAAACCTGCTCCAATTTAGCTCTCCTTAAAAATACAAGCTGTGATTCTTGCAGAATCTGGAGGTGACTGATTTATCTATATTTTATTATTTCACTTAACAAAATTCATAGAAGCAGATGGGAATACAATTTAAAGCATTAAAATTAAATTAAAAGTGACCCTTAGTTATTCAATGTATGCAGTTTCTCTTATTGAACACCAGAATCTGATATTGATTTGTTTTTTTTTGTCATTACACTACTGCAATATTTTGTTGTTTACTACATTGGATGTAAAATCTTAAAGTATCTCCCATAAAAGTATTCTCAACATATTGGTCTTACTTTAAAACTAAAATCCCCTTACAGAACATAGTTGAAGTTTTACAGTTAGAAGTAAAAGTTCAGATATTTGAGCGCGCCGACTCTTCTTGATGCACCTTCTTTGGCAGTAGTCACAGGGAGGTGTTGTGTGTCTTCTTGTTCCATGGTCTCAGATATCAGATCCTCTTCTGGACCACAGTCCCGCTCCCCACTGCAGCTCTCAGCTTACACACCTGTCTGCCTCTCGGGCCTGTCTGTCTCCTCTTTGACCACCTCTCTTATAACTGTAACCTTCCTCTCTCCATATCTGTTTTTTTTGTCTTTCCTCTGTCTCTCATGTCATCGTGTCTGTCTCCATCTCTCTGATGTTCTGCACCTGGCAGATGTATCTTCAGTGTGAGCTTTCACTGCGTTCACATCACACTGAAGATGACTCATGTGAAAAGTTACTTTCTTTAATTAAAAAAATACTTTAAAAATATCTTAAGTGTGTGTGTGTGTGTGTGTGTGTGTGTGTGTGTGTGTGTGTGTGTGTGTGTGTGTGTGTGTGTGTGTGTGTGTGTGTGTGTGTGTGTGTGTGTGTGTGTGTGTGTGTGTGTGTGTGTGTGTGTGTGTGTGTGTGTGTGTGTGTGTGTGTGTGTGTGTCAGCCGAGCTTGTCTAGGCAGAGGCACACCAGTGACGACATCTTAAATGAATAGAGCCATTCTGAAGGATAAGATCACACCCGTCCGGCTGCCCTCAGGGCTCCTTAATGACTAATGTTCTTTTTAGACAAGTTAAGCGTTTTTTGTTCTTCCTCTGAAGTTTAAGACGCAGATATGTTCATGACAAACAGGAATTTCTTATTTTATATGAGTCGCCCCTAAAGGATGATTTCATTTACCCCCAAATATCTTCATCAGCCTTACAATTCAAAGGGCGTCCAATAACATGACGCATATCCAACCTTGAAGGTCAAACATTGGTTCATTTAAGCTACGGCTCTGCTTAATGCCAGACCACAAACCATCTCTAGCTCTGTCTTGTATTTTTAGCAAACACCTTGAAATCCAGCCAAATAAACAAACTGGCCCAGGAGAGTATTTAGGTGTGTGCGTGTGCGCGCGCGCGCGTGTGTCTCCATAGCTCCCAAGTTGCTTCACGTGGTGGAAAAGCCCTGCTGTGTATGTCTCTGCGTCTTGTATAAGTGTTTTGTTGTATAACCACATTTGGGACACATACAAGTTTTTTTTTGTACAGCAACAATATTTTCTCACTCATGGAATATAGCTTCAGTTGTTTTATCTAACACACCTTTTTGGATATCTATATCCGACTTCTCTGCTTTCAGCTCTTAACAAAGGCAGTGAATATATGCCTCTGTGTTTGTGTAGAGCAGGTCTACCTTTAATAACAGAAATGAAGAAGGTAAAAGTGAACTATCAGCAGTTCTAGATACCACTAAAGTGAATGAGAAAATGCTTTTTTTTTGTATGTGAACTGAGTGAACAGACCCTTTTCAAATCAGCTACTGTATGTAATGGAAGTGTTTACTTCCCCTTCAATGTTAAAAATGGATGAAAACAAGTGGCACAGCTCTTTTCTATTTACTATTTTATTTAACCAGTTTAAAAAGTCTTACAAGTTTTACAGTTTTACAAGAGCGTCCTGACCAAGACAGGCAGCAGCACAATTCACAGGGTTTCAGACATACAACACTTAAATACAGGAATCACAAAAAGAACCATTCATCAGAATCTGTCGTGTCAAGTGTGTTCAAAAACTTCATAATTAATAGAGATTACAGATTTCAAAGAGGTCCAGATTACCAATCAGGTCCTCCACTCTTACATTTCCACCCTCGGGTATGCATCCTCAGCAGCCCCCAGGCAGCGTCTCGCAAGACGCACACTGTATATCTGCCTGCAGACATGCTGCTAATAGACTCACTCTTGTGTTTGGTGTGTATGTTTGTGTGTGTTTGTGTGTGTTTGTGTGTGCCCTGCCAAGGCCCTAGCAGTCCTGCAGTCTATATTTGTGACTGCAGCAGACACACTTCCTTGTTTTATTTGGAAGTCTGACACATTGAGCTTGCTTTGACTCAGTGGGAGGCTAACAGCCAGCTACTTCTGGCATGTCTGTGAACTATTTGAGCTTTAAAAGTTGCACTATAATAAATCAGCTTACAGCCTATTTGTGTGCTGGCTTTGAGGCTTATTTTAGACGAGCCACACAGATCTTAACCTGGAATGTGGGGGAGATTTACGGATTTTCACAAACTTTTCAAGATCAGTAAGGTTTGAAGGACACGGTTACATTTGAAGCAGACAAAGCAAATAGAATATAATTTAGCTTTACATGTGATTGATACATTTTAGATCAATTTTTATTTCAGAGTTTGGACGAGGGTTCAGTTGTAGGACGATTACAGGAGGTTAATTTTCCTCACTATTAACATATATTAAATCTGCAACTGAAGCCATATATTGAAAAAAATAGTCCCTTTCTCTGAGGAGTCCCTCTTTCTCCCAAAAAAAGAGTTTGTCAGTCTCAACAACTGTCAATCACAGGTATATAGGCTTTGTATTCTAAACTCCCATCCAGAAAAAACACTTTCATACAGGACAGACATTGATAGACATTTCTTTTGTTTGTATTCAGTTATAATTATTAGGTATTAAAGAGTCTAAAAAAAGATCAATAATTCAGAAAATGAATCTCCAACTGATCTGTTCTTGAAATACTTTTTTGGTCACTTAGCTAAAATATTGCACATTTATTATTTCTACTTTCTCATAAATGTTTTTATTTGTACAGCGCAAATTCATAAAAAATCTTAAGACACCTTACAAAGCAGTTAAAATACCTTACTCATTGTTATTTAATTTTAATATAACAAAAGAGCAGGTAAAAGACCCTACTCATTGCTATATTATACCATTATTACCATTATTATATACCAATGTTAATCCATCATGAGCGTTGCACTTAGCAACATTTAGCAAAGTTACAGTGGCAAGAAAAAACTCCCTTTTAAAGAGGCAGAAATCTTTGGCAAAACCAGACTTATAATTAACAGCTATCTACCGAAACTGCGCCGACGGTTAAAAAAAATGTAGAGTACAAAAAAAACAGTGATTGACATTTTGGTTTAAAAGCTGACACCATATTGACAAAACTCAATGTTTAAGATAAAAGACATGGGTAGATGTATTCATTATGAATGTAAATGTTGGTTGAGGAACAGAGTAATATAACTGTGTATAAAAATCAGATTTTATTTTAAGCATTCATCTAAAGCAGGAAAGATTAGTCTATTAGGTTTTTTAGGCAATGACAGCAAACACATTTGTGACAAATATCTGCACTCACATGATAAATGTTAAGTGTGTGTTTCTGGCTGCTAAGATTCTCCCATCTGTCACACACACACTCTTGAGTGTGTGTGTGTGTGTGTGTGTGTGTGTGTGTGTGTGTGTGTGTGTGTGTGTGTGTATGGGGGGGGTGTTTCCATGGTAACACTTCAAAACGCAGCAGACGGTTAAATCTCCTTGCCACAAGCAGCTGTTCTATGTTAATCATTTTGTAAAGATTTGAGTTTGTTTGATTAAAATGTAAGAAAAAGCCGGATGTTTGGTATTTTTATTTAGAACATAATCATCATCTGTGTTTTGGGAATCAATGTTGAAATTACAAGTAAACTGAAATCAATTTTGATGTCAAGTAACATTTTTAAAAATGATGTTTTATAGTAGTTTAAGTTGAAACAGGATGGATAGATATTATTATTATATCATAATATATTTGCAGGCTTAGTTTGGGTTAACAATTAAATCTATTTGAAGACTTTGAATATAACATGTCATTTTTATTCATTCACTTAATCATCAGTCCTATATACTCTATTAACTTTGGATTGCACACAACCTGAAATAGGACTTAACAGTGTGGTGCAGGAAGTAAAAATCATTTTCTCCATAGCAGATTTGATTATTATCCATGATGTCATAACCATCCAAGGTAGACTGACCATGAGCTACCCGAGTGTAGAGCGATGTTATGTGCTCCTGTAGGAGACACAAGTATGATATGAACCTCGATTTAAGAAAGATTTATTCACAATATCAGGGCATAGAAGTACACTACCCACAATCATAGTGTTTCTAATGTGTTGAGCTTACTGTTACCATGGCAATATTTCCTGCTGAATCCGTAGAGATAAGTTTCGCTAGCAGGCTAGCTAGTTTATTAGCTAACACGAAATATACTCAAAACCGTTTCATGCCGCAGTAGATGTAGTTTATATTTACCACAACACAAACAACAAGATTAACAGTATAAACATGACAACGACAAAAGTTTAAGAAGAAACGATCTCGTTCACAATGGATTGTGAGATGGGTAGTTCCTTGACTCTGGATGAGAATGATGTACCGTTGCCTTTTTTCAGTTTTAATGCCGTT